CCCCCCCTTATACACCCACATTCATATGAAGACAAGAGCTCAGTTCCCTCATTGAAAGGAAATTAATAATAATTATGTCACGGCACGTGAAATCAAGCGCTCGCACTCATTTTTTGGGGTATAATGGAGTTATTGATATAATCTTTAAGCATGTACATTTGCCTTGCTCTTGATAAAAAAGTGCCCGTCTATCTGGAATAGAATGGAGATATTTGCGAATGAAAAAAGTGGGGCTCGACTGGCGCCGGAGGTCAAACTAGCAAGAAAATGGTCGTCAAAGTTTGGCGACTTCCATATTTTAAATTTCCTTGGAAACTGCAAAATTACTTTTGTGAGCCTTTTATCAATGTTTATCTGTAAAACCCCCTCAGATATGTGTTTTTAAACGGACATAAAAAGTGCTGAGCCCCCCCCCCCCCAAAAAAAAGAGGAAAAAATTGTTTAAAAAGTGCTTAATGGGCGTAAAAATGTCGGTTTCTTCGATTTCATTATTTTGACGAGCGCCTGATTTCACCACGATGGCACACATTTGTGTTGTGAAAGGTAAAACTCTTTTACAGACATAAATAGAACACAAGTACAAGTGCCAAGTTTGGCAGAGCCTCAGGGCTCTCTGTTAGCTAAGTGGATATTGTGCTGGACTACATGGGCCTGATCCTGGTTCGCATATCTGACCAGGCAGTCTTGAACCTGGGATGCAGGGGAGTCTTCCTGACGTGTTACTATTTATTTGGCTCAGTCGTGTAGGAGTATGACGTTAAATAGTTTCTTTCCACCTTTTAAAAAGCGGGAAGGGACGATACATTCATATTGTAATACGTGCTATATTACATCATGCTGGAAAGTGAAGAAGCTCGAAGACAAACATCAGGCTGACTAATTTTGTATTTTTCTTTGTTTTAAAGTTGGTGGATTCTGTACTCCCATCGACACGTTTTAGATCAGACTATTAAAGTTCAAGAGGCAGGCCTCGACACTGCCTGTCAGGACTATCAAGGATTGAGATGGATACAACGTCCTGAAAGAAAGACCGAGATACTGGATAAAAATTGTACCCATACGGCTATCAAACTCCCGTCTTCTGTGAGCAACGGTGAAGAGCTTAACACTAAACCACAGACACTGGAGACAAGCATGTTTATAAAGAAAAAAAGATACTAGAACGGCAATAGACACACTGGTAGTAGAACGGCAGTAGACACATTGGCTTACGACACAGCTACCATTTACAATGTATATTATGGTGGCTTTCTGCTGACAGTCAGTCAAAGATCGTATACTACTACTTGAGAACTAAAAAAGACGTCTTCAAAAGTGACTGGTTTGCTATAATTGCGCTTTTAATATTTTTCTTAGAGAGGCGTATCTATAGTGCGGTCAAAAATTCGTGGCGCAACTTTTCTTCAAATATCTCTTAAACGGGAGAATCACCGTCACTCATACTTTACACAGAAGTTTGTATCAATTTGTCTTAACTTAATCATATTTTTTCACAACGATGGAGGCTAGATTTAAAAACCTTTCTTCATAAATGTATAGAAATAACTATAAATCTCCATCATGCGGAAAATGGGATTGTTCACAGCACTTTCTGCTTCTTGCACACATTGTGTACACGCATATGGCCTACGTCACAACTTGCCATTGACACTTTTTATTGGCAAAACTAGTTGCAAGAAGTTAATTTTATAGTGAACACATTTTTTGCACTAAATGTTCTCAAAACACGCGTTCAATAAGCGTAAAGTCGCGATTAGAAATCAACGACAGGCTTGCCTTTAAAAGCGATATTGCCCAAGCTGTAAACTTTTTAAAAGTTGTAGAAACCATCAACTTGGATCTTTTTATTGGTATATATTAAGGAATTTGTCTAGAATACAGTGTGCAGGAGTTTGAAAAAATATTCATAAGTTAAGACAAATTGATATAAGTCATTGTGCAAACGTTGGTTAATCTATTTTCAATAGTAAAGGAGATATTTGACATTAAGTTACGCCACGAATTTTTGACCGCACTACAGTATACCAAAAATAAGAGCAAAGTCGTTTTATTATAGTTGTGCTGACAGGTACTTTATTGTGCATACATTGCTGAGGACGCTTTTCTTTTTTACAGAACAGTGCTTGCTAACCTGAGGGATATCGCCAACAAGTGAGCTATTAATTTTGATACTTTTTGTGCGTGGTGGGGGTCATCTGGGTATCGAATTTTTTTAGCCTCATTAAGGTAGCAAAAGTGGGCGCTTGCTATCAAAATGCTGATAAGCACTGTTTTAGAAGTGCACCATCTTGCAAATAGGTTCTCAAAACGTTCAGCAAGGTAAAGAATGAAACTGAAGCACTAAAAGTCATTCTATAAAAATTTTATAAAAATAAAAAAAATAAGACTACATTGATATTCTTTTTTTTTTTTAATGAATTGAGAAATGTATTGTTGAGGAAGTGAAAAGAAATAAGTGCTGAGATCTCGCTCGTTAATCGTGGTGTTACTTCAAGTTGTCAACCAATGTAATCCGCCCAAGCAGATGGGTCGAATAGTCCATTCCGAGAAGGTGACTGCCATTGGCTCATGCTTACGCCGTCTTGACCTTGAACTTGACCCCACAGGAAAGGTGACTTCGTTGTGTACAGGGAGGGATCAGGAAAAGTTTGGTCCACAGCACGCTTGAACATTGTATGCTTTTCATCTTCGTAATACAAATGAGAGAAAGAAAGATAGAAAAAAGATTATTATTCATCTGAGAAAGCGTATCCCGTTCCGTACATCTGTACAAAACACTGTTTTATAAGATGGTTCTTTTCTTACTTGAGCAGTAAAGAAAAAATGTCATTGTTGATAACAGTCACAGCTTTCAGCATTCTAAAAGTTTGTAAAATGTTATTTTAGGACAGGCTGATCTCAAAAGTAGACGCACTGATTGCTCTAAAGGAACTGTCTTGTTAAGGGTACGAAACGAAAGGTCTTCAGTAGGAGTGGTGACAACTACATGTATATCAAAGTCTAATTATACCGGGGAACTCTTTTTAAGGTGTATACAGATTCGTATCAGTTTGCACCTTTTAATTATTATTTGCATTCCTTCCTCATACACTTTGGCTGATGACTTCTATAGAAAACCCATTGAGCAGTGGTTTCCCAAAGATGTGTTAGATGAAACCGTTCACTCACATTTTAAAAATGTATTTTAGACAACCTCATTTCAATCATTTACAGTCGAACTTGCTCTAACGGCCACCTGTGTAAGACAATCACCTGTACAAACGCCCACTACTCATTTCCTACCTTGCATATTTTGTTTATATTATAATGGCGCCGTCTTAGACTGCCACCTTCTCGTACAAAAGCCTCTTTTCCACTCGGGTGGCTGTCGTAGACATTTTCGACTGTGGCTGTTACCGTCAATCACGTTTTGTTGTTTCTTTTAAAAAAGAAGTAGATTCTACCAAACTCTTCGTTTTCACCATATTATAATGTCTTTCCAATTAGTTCAATTGGAAATAATGATTTAATTAATATGGCTGCCGGTACTTTTCGAGACGGCTTTATTAGGATGTCAATTAGCATCCAGCTAAGAGGGTACAGCTTTTGCATGTGTTCAGTCACTACATGTCAGTGAGACTCAAATCCGAATTTCTTTACGTAAAGACATCTCTAGAGAGTAAAAGTCTTAGATAAGACACCCCCCCCCCCTCATTTAAAGAAGAACGGAGGCCAAAACTTTCAACAATATGGCAGGCCTGAAGTATAGGTCCAAATTCTCCTTGATTCCAGATTACCTGCTTGTCGGTGAAGCTACTTTTTCTCACATGAAGTTCTTTAGTATACCACAAGGCAAAACGTTTATCACCATGTAATACCTCATAGTTAATCAGCTTTCTAGCTTGCAACAATTCTGTGTGCGTGTGAAGGTGGAAAGAATTTCCTTTCCTTAACGTCCAATTCAAATGGGAGGACGCTCTCCTTTTTAATAAGTGAGTGGAGGTCTCTAAAATCATTTGTCTCTTGGTTTCAAAAGAATATGGTAAAATGATCTACTTCATAGCAAAATCTACAAACATTATCCTCCCATAATCTAACTTCGTCCTGTGTGAAAATGAAGTGTTGAGAGGTTGAGATGTTGCAGACCATCCAGCTTTTTCCTGCTTGACAGGTTAATAAGCATATTTTTTGTATGAACATGAACAATGAACACCCATTTTCAATAGTTTTTGGAACTGGTATTAATCGTTTTGATTTTCTTCTGAAGTAAAGGGGTAGAAAGGAAAGGGTATATGATATAGAATACATTTCATTTAGGACCTCTTGGTGGTTTTTTTTCACATCCGGTCGCACATGTATTGCAATGCATGTTTTATCTCTATAGTTATTTCGTACTGAAGCGTTTTAAGGAACAAAAACATGACAACGACGTCCAACTTAACCTGGACACAAGCAACGAAACAATTTGCAAATTAAAGATGGCTTGATTTATTAAACTTTTGAATGTGGTGAGTATGTGGTGAGATATGTAGTGGCATATACATGTTTTGTAAAATATCTTGTCATTAATTGTATAAGGTATTTTGAACAGGATAGAAACAAGATGGCTCTTTTTTGGTACTGCTGATAGAGAATTGGCCTTACAACCCCCCCCCCCCCTTCCCCTCGACAGCTAACGAATATAGAATATGCTTTAGAGTTTGAGCTTGAGCATTCTAGTCAAATTTATTTCTTAAAGTTTTGAACTGGCGTCATGAGTACTTTTTTATAACGAATAACGCAAAACGTTAAAGGACACTAGGTACAGCTGAAGTGCAAATTGTTGTTTGTGCCAGAAATCAAGTTTACTGTGTCCATATTACTCACTATAGTTCAAGAAACAGAAAAAAATACCCCTTCCCCTGTAATATTTCATTGACAACTTCTTTTAATTTCTTGAGATGAAACGGGTTCGACATACCAAAACATTATGTAATCTTTACTCTTTCTTAGGGACTCAGAAAAGGCAAACTAAAGAACAGCTAAGTAGGCTATACAAAAGGAGCAGTATTAGTAACGTTTGTTACAATACGACTTTGTGAAGCTTTCTGACATTTAAGTCATTTGATCAAGCAGTAGAATGGGATGTGAGGGTTGCGATAAAATGTGTACAAGAAAGATACAAATCAATGGGTATGAGAACTTTACTGTTACAGAATAAAGTTAGAAAATGTGCATAGTTCATAGGTCATTGTATAGGTTTAAAGCCTCTTTCAACACCGTAAGGTAATTAATGAGGTTGAACTTCCAAATTCAATTTCCACATCCGTAGGGAGGAACTAAATGAGTGGAAAGCCTTAAAAGAACCCCCCCCCCCCCAACAATCAAAGTTCAGAACGCCCCGTTCGGGATTCGAACCAAGGCCATCCGGTACGTAGTCTAACATGATATCAACTGAACGAGTGGTACGCTCAAAGGTGTATTGAAACCTCAACTCATCGTGTTAACTTTTTTTTACATGTGAAGTGTAATATTGATAAACTCATTCTTGAAATATTGCAATAGCAATTCTCCATCACATACGTCTATTTTTCTGGTCGGAGAGCATTCTAGATGGGTTAAAGACGTTGAAGCTCATGTTGTTGATTATATCGGGATTGAACCCTGCTCCTGTACGATCGTCTTGTTGCTCTGGCTCCTTGGCCATCTCAGAGGCAGCATCGACATCCTTGTTTGTATCTGGTACACCGGATGTAGCAGAGCCGTCGGTGGCTGTGTTATCATCTGTAAATAAGTATATAAGATATAAAAAAAGATTAGTTATGAAGATAGATATATTACAGGCTCATCGACACAATTTATATTATGTAAGAGGTGGGGAAGGAAGAGAGAGTGTGTGTGTGAGAGAGAGGAGGGAAAGAGAGCGGAGAGAGAGAGAAAGAGGGGGGGAGAGGAGAGAGAGGGTGGGGGAGAGTGAGAGAGTTATAGATAGATAGATAGATAGATAGATAGATAGATAGATAGATAGATAGATAGATAGACGGGGTATGGAGAAGGCGAATTTATTTTAATTAAACTAACTTGTTTATTTGATGAGTTTCGATGCTGACAGTTTCCCCATGCTCTCTGTATAACCAGGTACCTTTTCCTTTGCATTAGTGTTACATTCAGAAATCCTGCAACGTTCGCTTTGTAACAGTTGTATGATAATCACACGGGCAATGGATTTCTGTCACAGCTTGATTAAAATCTTTGAGATATGGGTTTTACTATTAAATCTTCATAAACAAGACATGTAAACTAGAGAGCAAGGGAAAAAAAGAAGTGGAATGGTAAACAGAGAGTACAGAATTAGAACTTATCCATGGCACTTGCAAATAAACGTTCGTAGTCAGTCCGCTAGCTCAGTTGGTATTATGCTAGACTACAAAAACGGATGGCACCGGTTCGAATCCTTGACTGGGTGTTCTTGAATTTAAGTCGTTTTGTGGAGTTTTCAAAGCTCACCTATTTGCCTAAGTCCTGTGGGAGACCACATTTAATTTGGAGGCCCCGCCTCTTAAATAATATAACAGTGTTGATAGAGTCCATACACTTTACTTTATACCTTCAGTGGGATCCACATCATTGGCTGGTCTTTGGAACGAATTGACGTCATTTGTTCCCGGGAATTCCCCAGGCCGAAAGTCTCCAACTGCTGATGAGCCAATCACAGACGCCATATTTGCTGGTCGCTTGTTGGAGTCTTTGCCGGGTGTGGAAGAGCTCTGAAGATAGAAACGTTCAAGGAAAGTTAAAGCCGTGGAAATCAACAGCAAACACTTCTTTTAGGGCTAGCAGAATACATATGAAATATCCTTTCAACATTAACATATTGAGCTAAACACAGCTGTTGAAAAATACACGCTAAAATATACTAGACCGTTATCTAGCAAGCTAAAGATAATATTGTGGGTGGTTGGCGGGAGCTCTTGTGTGGTTTGCTCCTTTATTAAATATCTATCATCCTGATCTCTCCTCCTTTTTGTATTTATTACTCTCTTGTAACGCCTCTGATCTTCGACACTTAAGTGACCTTAATGTGTTTTAGGTGCCGTAAATCTTACTAAAACTAAAAGTTATTTTTTAATGAAATATATATTTATTAAGTCTAAATAGAGCAGGGCACTTCTTGTACGGCCTGTGACTTCAGCAAGAGCTAAAGAAGGTCATGGATTGAACACACCATCCTTCTTGATTGATATCTTCTAAAGCAACCTCGAAGCATCGTAAGGAAAATGTACCGGATTTTTTTTTTTAAATCTCATTTCAGTTTTTTTTTTTTTTTTGCTAAACATTTTTTTTGTAAAGTCAACTTTTTCGTTTGGTGTGATATAGACACCTGAGAAGGATCCGATAACTCCCCGCGTCCAACGAAATATGTCGGCTCCGCAAACGTCATCACCGCTGGTGGTCGTCGTTCATTTGCCCACTTTCCCCCCGACGGTAATCTCCCCGGATTTTTCGTGACGTCATTTACTTTGTTCTGTTCTCTGACCATCTGATACAGGAAAGGGTCTGTGAAGTAGTCGGGGACACGCTGGATGACCGTGGGGTCAGCTCGACCTGGCGAAGGAAAAGAGCCGAGGCGTCCATCAAGAAACTTAGTAATTTAAATTATCAGTTTCTCTACACCCCACCACCACCTCCCCCCCAAAAAAGAAAAAATGTTCAAATATTAAAAAAAAGAACAGAAACGAAATAATTTTTAAAAAACAATGATCACAATTTTTTAAAAAGAAATATATTTTTTAACAATTAATAATAAATCCCCTACTCCTGGGCCTATGTTCGGTCTTGTTGCTTTAGGGTGGGACAGGGGAAAAAGACGGATGGGAGAATTGTTTTTTTTATGTTGGGGGGGGGGGGGGGGGTT